TCTAATCTGTATTTTCAGGCGGCCCTCGGCGGCTGCTGACCTTTGCCGATGCCAGGCTTGGTTATTTATAACGCTTAACCTGGTGTAAAACGTGGTGCCGTCAAGGCTGGCAGGAACTATTTGTTGTCTTCAGTGCAGTATTTTACAGTGTGTCTGTAAATACAGTTAAGCTTGTTCTGATTCCTGTATTTAATTAAACTAACATCGCGTTTAGCCTTCAGAAGTCTACTCTGAAGTCATTCTCCCTCCTTATATCCAGACTACATCCTTCAGGAAGGCCTTTCACATCCTCAAGGACACACTGACATTTATGTGGAACTGAGAAACACCATATCTCTCTGCTAGCGGTGAGAACAGCATGAAAGCAAAAGCCATTTTCTCACCTGCAGCTGCACGTTCTCCAGGCTCGGCTGTGAGATTAGACAGACAGTCCAGCCAGTGCAGAGTGAGTTCTCTGTGCACTGCAGGGTTCTTACAGACATTTAAAGAACACTGATTTGATTTACTGTCCAAAACCTCCAGTGAACCTACATGTGTCGTCTGAGTTTATATGGAATGTTGATGATGGAAAACAGTGGAAAATCTGAAATAACACGTTTTCTTTGATATCAATAACCAGAAGGTCTAACCAGATAGCACCATATATCGGTCCGCTGGCTTGATGAGGTCGGGACCTCGCTGACTGGTTGCCACTGCTGGTCCACCCTCGGACCGCCCAGATTACTGTCCTGCATTCAAGCTGTAACTAGTTTTCAATCTTCTCAAACAGATTTTAAATTGACAGGGACTTTTATTTTAGAAAATAAACTAAGATAAATATTACAAACAACTGAGAGAAAAAAAAATAATGACCAGGCCTGACATAAAATGATTTTATAGAGAATGCTGTTGCTGATGCTGAGCTGGATTAAAATTATTTACTAAGTTAATTTACAAATTGGACGTGAGTGGAAAATGAGTGGAAAGTGGAATTTTGTCTAATCCTCTGCTTAACCACCGGTTGGCCGCCCAGAAAACGCTGAGCAAAACATCAGTGGACGTCACCAGTGGCCCACTATCCCCTTGCTATCAGGGTAGCTGCTAAATACTGACTAGACGAGCTGTTTTACTTAAAATCAGTGTCATTTAATTGTGCTGATGCAATTAGCCTATAAACTTTGGCTAGCATTAGCAGCCTAGTTACATTAATGTTGATGAAGTGCCCTGATACAATTAGCCAAGTGTAGCTATCTATCTTTTTAGGACGTGTCCGGATTCAATTAGCCAAGCACAGCTACCTAACTATGCTGATGCTGAGGGAGCGTCCTGATGGAGAGTGTAGCTATCTAGCTATGCTAATGTCGTGGAAGTGTCCTGATGCAAGTATCCAAGACTTTGGCGAGCATCAGCAGCCAAGCCATGTCAATGTTATCCCTGCTGAAAAAACAGCACAGACCAGCAAGCATTTCATGACAGTCTAAGCTGGTTTATGCTGGTCTAGTGCTGGTTTAGCTTGACCAGCATACCAGCATCCAAAACACAGCATGTGCTGCTTTTGCCGGAGACCAGCCGTGCTGCTCTATGCTAGTTTTCTAGCAGGGGTGGAAGCAGGCTAGCTATGCTAATGTTGAGGAAGTGTCCCAATGCAAGTGTCCTAGATGTTGTCTAGTATTACTCACAAAGCTAAGTGGTCACGCTCTTCTGCCTGTGTACATATATTATATATATATATATATATATATATATATATATATATCAGAAAATCAGAATATGCGAATACGAAGTGTTCACTGCACTGCTATTTTCAGTCTTCCACTGAAAAGCTCTAAAGATAATTAGACACTCCAGGAACTTCGTTCACTCCACGGTTGGAGGATGAAAGTGAATCGATGTTCAACTCCAAAGTGAGACTACAGGCTCCTCACTTAGTGACCTTTTCCAGACCAAAGTGTCAACAGCATTCGGATCATCATACATCAGAGAGAGTCGGGAGGCCCCGGACTGCCTGGAGAAAAGGTCAACTCCACTCTTTACGAGAGCGGACATGCCACAAACCTCAAACCGCTCTCATCCAACATCACACAACTACACAGCACCCGCGCCTCTCAGCACAAACCAGCGCTTACACTCCAGCAAGAGTCCATCACCATCCACAGCTCTACTGACCCTGTGACCTCCCCTGGGTTTCCTGACCAGGCCGCGCTCAGCGAGGCTTTATTTATTTATTCCTAGCCCAGAGAACAGGCGGTGATGAAAGAATTCAGCTGATGCTCCCATCAAAAATCACTTGTAATGATACTATTACACAGCATCGTCCTATAAACATGTCAGACCAAATAAATATTACAGTTAGAGTGCATCATCTCTCCTGCTGACAGCGTGCTGACTCTAAAACACCGTCGACATCCTGCACAGATCTCAATCCACCCAACATCGACAGAACTGGGGAACAAACCCAGTCTGACTGCCCACGAGAAATAATCAATACCCAACTGGGTTTAGTGGAGAACTTCAAAAATCCAGTCCTCCATCAAATCAAATATGATAGAACTACCATACGTCTTCATCGGAGCTCAGTAATGTTCATATGATCCGTAGAGGGCGATATAGCTTCTATTGTTTCATTTAAAGGCATCATGAGAGAAATCACACAGGGTTAGACCCGGAAAAAATAGGGACAACTGCCAAT